TCAGCAGGTGACAAAGGCTCAAGCAGTTGGAGCACAGAGATGGAATGGGGTCAGTGCCATGAATTACAATGGTTGGAGGAGGGGGAGAGTCCATGGCTTGTGTAGGGCCTTTAAGTCAGGAGAAAGAATTTTAATTTTACATCAAAAGAAATGGGAGACCACTGACCTACTTTTGGTTTAATGACACAGTCTTTTTTTGTTTGTTTTGTTTCGTTTTGTTTTGTTCTCTGTTATTTTATTTTGCTCTTTCCAGTCTGAAGCTACTATCATGGGCATTTAGTTATACAAATGACACTTACAAAAATAAATAAAAGACCAAGATACCCAGAGTGAGATGCATGGTGGACAGGGGCATTGGGGGGCAGCCAAGGGCCAGGGCTGGGTGTCTCCTCACAGGTTCCCAGCTGAGGGTGACACCCGGCTTCATCCCACCCCGAGACCCAGAATCCAGTCAGAGAAGGAGCACCAATATGCTGCCTGGAGGCTCTGGCTGGGTGGGCAGGGGGACGGGGCCAGTGAGCACCCCGGGGAGGTGGAGGCAGGTTCTGGGTTTGGGGAGGTGCCCTCACTGCCCCACCACTAGCAAGCAGAGGCACTAAGGCCTGAAGATACTGCCTGAGGCTTGGCTGCACTATCTCCAACAATGACATTTAATTTTAAAAAAATCTTTCACCCTCCTGGCCCTCTGGCCTGCCCCTGAATGAGCTCGTGTGTTGCCTTCAGAACCAGTGCAGCACTGGAGCTGGTCTGCTGAGCCCAGAGCACAAGCTGACAGCTTCGCTGCCTCTCCCACACATAGAGCAGCTCTCCGGAGTTTATTTTTCCTCTTTAGAGATATGGATAGTCCGCTGAAACCATATCTATACAGTAGGTCCTCAGGTTACGTCAGAGATCCATTCCTATGGCTACATAATGTGATTTCCACCATTAGTCAGAACCCACCTACATAAGCACCTACGTCACTGACATGGAGCACATACACACAGTAATGAAGTGAAACAGTAAAAAAAATTTAAAAGAAAGATAACAATTCCTGACCTTTACTTGTGGTAAATAAATAATAAAAAACATAAAGTACATATGTACATACGTCGAAATGATGGAACTTTTTTTTTATAAATAAGTGGGAATTGGTGATGTAACCACGAAATGACATATATTGAGTCAGACATAACCCGAGGACTGTCTATATATATAAAAGCCTAAGTGACTGTTCAACCGTTTGACTGTTTGACTGGTAACTATGATGCTCACTGACCACCAGGGGGCAGACACAGACTGATGAATCTCAGAGGGGAGGAGGGAAGGGGAGATTAACCAAAGATCTTATATGCACACTAGAGGCCTGGTGCACAGATTTGTGCACCAGTGGGATCCCTTGGCCTGGCCTGCGGAAATTGGGCCAAAACCAGCAGTCTGACATCCCCTGAGGGGTCCCAGATTGTGAGAGGGTGCAGGCCAGGCCGAGGGACCCCACCAGTGCATGGGGCCTCTAGTTTATGTATAAACCTCAGAATGCAGAATTAGTGCCATTGAATCTAAAATGCATATACCCACACACACAAGGACTATGGGTTCCTTCTGCAGAAGTGGGTACTTAATACCCATTGGATCCTGATGTCAGGGGACTACAGCCCAGTGTCAGGATGGAGAGAAAGCCCACAGCTGATGCTTCTTCCCTATGACAGGATTCTACAGACCAGGGAGGCCTGTATTTCTGTGCTTCTGTGGGCGGAATGTGTGAGGACATGGAGAATAAAGTGGATGGCTTTATTCTGCTTTGGTGAGCTGCTGGGGAAAAGACCCTCTCTAGCTGACCGCAGGGACCAGTGGCCAGTTTCCTGCTGCCAGAGCCCAGGGACAAGGTAGACAGGGCTGGGTCCTCAGGGCACAGAGCCCTTGGCCAGCCATAGGGCCATCCTGGGGGGCAGGCTGGGATTGTCAGTGCCGGCTTATTAGGGACCAGACAGACAGCCCTGAGGAGTACAGGCTGGAAACAAGACCAAGGTCCCAAAAGGGCAGAACATGTTTGAGAGCCTGGGAGTCTCTTCCAGCTGAGCCCCCCTGCGCCCTGGGTGGGGTGAGTGGCCATCCCTGTCATGCGGGGCGGGAAGCCCGTACCATGAATTGAACTTTGAAGTAAGGAGCAGCGGAGTGGGACCGATGCTGGTTGCAGGGCCTGACAGGGACCCCTTGTGTAGACAGAGGAGGCCCCGCCCACCCCAGGATTACACATGCATGATAAAAGGAAGAATGTGTGCCCCATCTATGATGCCCATGACCTTGGCTCACATGTTCCATTACCTGGAATGGTATGTGCTGGCAGGCCTCTGGGCCTGGCCTGGTGCTCAGCAAAGGCAGAGTGAGACCCAGGGATGGCCATGGTGCCTGCCTCCAGTCAACACACCTGGGTGATCTCAGTGGGTCCTGAGGACACCAGGAGCTTCAGACAAGTTTGGTGGCGGGATAGAGCTGCCAGTTCTGGAACTTTCTTCTTTCAGAAGAGCAAGCAGAAGTGCCCCTGTTTCATTCTGCTGCCACGTGGGCTTAGAGACAGAGGGCTGTATGGGTTCTTCTTGCTGCAGCATGAGTGCTGGTCTCCCAGACGCTGTGGAATTGCCTAACGGTCAGAGGGTCCATTTCAAGCAAATAACATAGGCTTTAGGGGGCCCTAGGGCTGAGCCTGGTGTCCCTCTGCGATGCCATCAGTGGCCCAGGGCCCTGGGCGATTTTAGGTGGACACCAAGGGAGTGAGACACAGAGGTTGAGTCATTCATGGCGAGCCCACCAGATGGGGATGCATGAGCTGGGAGTGTGAGAATGTGTGTCCGTCTACAGTGGATTGGTCCTGAGTGTGAGCGAGCCTGTGCATGCGGGTGGTATCCCTGGGTGAGCCTGCTGGTTTCCCTGAAGTCTGATCCAAATGCGCCTGAGCTCCCAGATGGTGAGTATTCCCAGACCTGTCACCTGGCCTGCCAGGCCGGGGAGGCCTCCATGGCTCCTGGGTGCAGTGCAGAAGGACAAATCGTGAAGTCCCTGTGGCCCAATACCCAACGCTGTTCCTAAAGTGGGGAGAGGAAGTGGGGGGGCGGGTGTTGGGCTTCCTATTGTGCCTGACATCCCCACAAGCCCAAAGGAAGCCCGGGGAACCCTCTACCACCCCATTTGGGACCCTGTCCCTGATGGCTCCCAGGAGCCACAGCCAAGCCTAAAATCAGGGAGCACCACCTACCCTCCTGCTCCCAGGCTCATGGGGTCCAGCAGAAGGCAGGTCTGGGGGAGGCGCAGTAGTGCCGAGCAGAGTTGGAGACCATTTCCCAGTCCCCATTCTCGTCCCGACTGTGTCCCCTGGTCTCTGAGATGAGGTCTCCCCCTTCCCCTTGAAGATAGAAAGAGACTCCGTTGTCTGGACACACACAACACCAGGCAAGGTGTCACTCTGCATTCAAATGCCATGGCTGTGTCCTCTGGGCTGTGGGCCCTCCCCCACTCCTGGGCTGCTGCTCACAGGGTCCAGGGTCTCCATCTCAGTTTGTTAACCACCAGCCGTCCCTCTCTCTCCCTCCCACTCAAGCCAATGGCAGCCCCACCGCAGGCCTGAGCACCGGGGCCATCGTGGGCATCCTCATTGTCACCTTTGTCCTGCTCCTGGTGGTTGTCGACATCACCTGCTACTTCCTGAACAAGTGTGGCCTTCTCATGTGCATCGCCGTCAACCTGTGTGGAAAGGCGGGGCCAGGCGCCAAGGGCAAGGACATGGAAGAGGGCAAAGCCGCCTTCTCGTGAGTGCAGACCCGCCGCTACCACGGTCCGGGCTCCACCTCCGCCCAGGGCCCAGCCACTGAGCTCCTCAGTTCCCCTCTTGGAGACCCTGAGCGGACGCAAGCATTAGAGAAATGTTTCTCAAAGCTTGGCTTAGGGGATCCCTGTTTGAAAAGCAGACTCGGGCTCAACCTCATAGCTTATACTTAGAACTTCGTGGAAGTGTGAAAATCCCTGCCTAGAACAAAATGAGGGCATTTTCAGAGCTAAGCCTGGGGGGCGGGGGCTGAGATGGGGAGGGGGCAGCGTTTGAGAGACACACTTGCCTTGCTGCCATTCACTCCTTCATTCGTTCACAAATCACGCACCACTTAGTGAGAAGCTACTCTGGGCAAGGTGCTGTTCCCAGGCTCTGGGTACGGCAGTGAACAGAACAGAGGAGAAGTCCTGTCCTCGAGCTGACGACCCAGTGTGCCCCCCAGAGCCCTTGGGAGCTGAGCCTGAGCCAGCAGGAGCCTCGCAGACTCGCTGTGCTGAGCTGGGTCCAGGCAAGAAGGGACAGAGCAAGGAAATGCATTGCTTAGCACCACCATGTGCCAGGCAATGCCTATGCATCTATACACACATGTGCATGTTCATACACATGAACATACAGTACATATACGTGTACACGCTTACATGTGTATAAGTGCAGATCCTTTTAGCATTTATCTGTACCAGGTGCTGCGCTGAGCACTTTACATTCATTGTCTCAGTTAATGTTCACAACAGCCAGGTGACATAGATACTGTTATTTGCCCCATTTTACAGGTGAGAAAATGGAGACAAGGCAGCAAATCAGGTGCTCAAGGTCACATAGCGAGCAAGAGTGGGGATTTGGGGGGGGCGGCGCTGGGCCTGGCTGCAGAGGCCACCTGCCCACCTTGGGCCAGGCCTAGGTAATTCCTGAGCTACAGCCAGCTTCCCTGGGAAACCCCTCCCCAGCTCCCGGGACTGAACCTGCAGAACTCTCTTTGCAGGAAAGATGAGTCCAAGGAGCCCATCGTGGAGGTGCGCACTGAGGAGGAGCGGACCCCAAATCACGACGGAGGGAAGCACACAGAGCCCAACGAGACCACGCCGCTGACAGAGCCCGAGTACGTGGTGCCGCCGCAGCAGCGCCCCACCCCCTCGCCACTGCCCACCCTGCTCGTGCGGCTCACCCACAGCTCCTGGCCAAGCACTACAGGCTGGGATTCTTGGCTATGAAAAGCCGGACCCTACTCTCTCCCTGGAGAGAAGGCATTCTTGGTTCTATTAGGGTGCCTGTGGGTGCCCTTAAAGGGCTTTTTGCATAAGTGGGATCCCTTGACCCTGTTCCCAAGTCACACAAACACACCCTGGAAGTAGCTTGCGGGAGCGAAGTGTCACTGAGGGAGATGAGCCTGGAGAATGAGACTTAGCACACTCTGTTTAGGATTTCCAAGAATTCTAGGGTTTTCCGAATTCTTCCTAATAGAGGAGGGGACGGGGGACCTGGTAAAGCTCTCTGCGCCCCCCCCCCCGGCCCGCCCCCCTCCTGTCCTCAGAAGCCTCAGGCAGCCTCGGTCAGAAACAACATCCGGCTGTGGTTGTAATGACTGTGCGGCTGGCATGGCTGCTCTGGGTTTGAAGGGAATGGAATCTAATGGAAGCACAAAATCTGTGGCTGGAGAACCCGTGGCTCTTAGGGGCTTTGGAACACTCACTGTCCACCTTCCTCCTGATTTCCCCACTGTGGCCCGTGGCGCCCAGCAGGGCAGCTGGGCCCGTTCCCTGGGACTCAGGCTGCTGCAGTGGTGCAGGCTGGCCTGAAGGTGCTGCAGGATCAGAAAGGCCCACTGGGGAGTCCCCTGCAGAGCCTGGAGGGACCAGCAGGGAGGAAGGGCCAGCAGGTCCCTTAGCCTGACTGCGGCGTTCTCTGTCGTGTCCTGTCTCCTCTTCTGCCCACAGGGCCTGTGCTTCCTCTCGCGTCTCATTTCTCTGTGGGCCGTGTCCGTGCCTGTGCGTCCCTGCATGCCTGGCCCTCCCCCGCTCCTCTGTCTTGTCTCAGCTTCATTGTCTATTCTCTTCTACTTCCTGTCCTCCCACAGGCTGCCTGCTGACACCACAGCCACTGTCGAGGACATGCTGCCTTCTGTCACCACCGTCACCGCTAACTCTGACACTATCACCGACACCTTTGCCACTGCTCAGAACAGCCCCACCAGTGAAACCACCACCCTGACCTCCAGTATTGCCCCCCCAGCCACGGCCACGCCCGACTCAAACTCTGTGCCCGCCAACCAAGCCACCCCTTCCAAGGGGCCCGGAGTGGCCACCTCCTCCCCACCCCCAGCTTCAGCCCCCAAGGTGGCCCCCCTCGTTGACCTGAGCGACACCCCGACCTCAGTCCCTGCCACCAGCAATTTGTCTTCTAGTGTCCTGGCTAACCAGGGAGCTGTGCTCAGCCCCAGCACCCCTGCCAGTGTCGGGGAGGCCTCCAAGGCCCCCCCAGTGAGCAAACCAGCCCCTGCTCCAGCCCCCACCTCAGCCGGGGCAGCCAGTCCCCTAGCAGCAGCAGCTGCTCCTGCCATAGAAACCCCCCAGGTCAAGCAGGAGGCTCCCAGCATCAAAGGCCCGGACCCTGAGCCCACCCAGCCCGGTGCTGTGAAGAGCCCAAGCGAGGCAGCCACGACCCTCACTAGCCCGAAGAGCGAGGCTGCCTCTGTCAACGCCACACACCCTGCCCAGGGCGAGGACTTTAAAATGGACGAAGGGAACTTCAAGACCCCAGATATTGACCTTGCAAAGGATGTTTTTGCAGCCCTGGGCTCTCCTGCTCCCGCCGCTGGGGCCAGTGGACAAGCCCCTGAGCTTGCTCCTTCCACTGCAGACAGCTCTGTCTCGCCTGCACCAGCAAAGACCGAGTACGGCCTCTCTTTGTCTCTGTCGTCGGGTTGTGTCCCATGGTAGTGTGCGTTTGTGCTGTTCTGTGTCCTTCTTGTTAGATGTCTCCTCAGCCCCATCCAGGGCTTCTCTGAGGCAACTCTCAACCAAAGGGCTGGGATCAGGCAGAGAGCAGAGGGACACCTAGCAGGTGCACGAGCAGCCTCCTGTCACTAATTAGGCCATGTTAATTATGCTTTACCCTGATCGTCCTAGCCACGGCATCTGTTTTCCCTTGGGAACCCTTGCAGTCAGGCCCTGATGAGCATTATTTGGGAAGCGAGCTAAGGAGACCAAGGTGCCCCTGTTGGCCACGCTGGGGCCCAGAGGCAGTCAGCATGTTATCCAGTGTGTCTATGAGGTTGGATTCTTGCCGACCCCCATCTACTCCTGCTTCTGCCCTGAGTGGCTGGAAGGACTCACAGCTCCCAACTACCACCCAATGGCTGTTGGGTCTTCAAGTTCAAGGGAAGGTCCTTACGCTTCCATGTTTTTTAAATGGGGTGCCAAGATGCAGTGGCACCATTTGGGGCTGAGGTCTGAGTCTGCCCAGTGTGTCCTCAGACCAGACTCAGCTCCAGGAACTGGCAGAGTCAGACTAGGTTTCCGTAGAGGCTCCCGAGGCTGATGCCAGGGGCGCTGTGGTGCTGCCACCAAGAGCTACAAGGGCACCGTCACAGGAGCCCTGGGCCTCACTCGGGAAGGAAAAGGGCTCCGATAGCCCTGCCCACTCGACCCATTCAGCTTCCCTGGGGCATGGCAGCCCACTCTAGCCCCCAGCAGACTCCCCAGGAAAGCTGCCCCAGGAACAAAGAGCATGTTCTCCCCCTGGCCAGGCAAGCCACAGAGGCATCACCACGAAACACTGAGCACAGGGGTAGGTGGGGTGGAGTGGGTTGGGGTGGGGACAGGCAAGAGCAGGGGGATTGCAGGAGGGCCCTCTGCAAACAGTCATGGGGAGCTCAGCCCAGCACAGCTCATTTATACCGAGCTGAGCAGCTGCTCCCGCGGCCCCCCGGGTAAGGGCTGGAAGGGGAGGGGTCTCGTTCCCCTGCTTTAGTGGCACTCAGCTTGGACTGCACGTTAGAATCACTTGGGTGCTTTTAAAAGTCACCATGTCTAGACCAGTTCTGGGGTATGGCCCCAGCACCCGCAGCTTATAGAGCTCCAGGTGACGCCGACGAGCAGCCAAGGGTGGAGGCCACTGCTCTAGCTGCAGCCCTCCTGCGGGGCTGGCGGAGGGTGAGCTACTCCAGACCCAGGTCTCAGCGCTGTTTCCCCGGTTCTCTGCAGGAAGGGCCCTGTAGAAGCAAAGTCGGAGTGCCAGGAGACAGAAACGAAGCCAGCACCAGCCGAAGCGAAGACGGTCCCCAACGATGCCACACAGACAAAGGAGAACGAGAGCAAAGCATGATGGGTGACGATAGCCAAGCAAAGATCAAAATTAAAAGTGACACCACAGCTTCACCAGAGCATTTCCAATATCACACACACACACACACACACACACACACACACACACATCTCACCCCTCTAGTGTCTTTTGCCTTTAAAACAAAACTAAACATAAACATGGGATCGCCTTTTTGTAGGTTTATAGAAAGGGTTCCTTTGTTACGCACTCACTTGTAAGAAAATGAGACAAAAAGGTTAACCCCACAGCCAAACTAGGACACTCCGTTCCCTGAAACCATTTAAAAATCAAACAAAAGGACCCCAAATTAAGAATCTAGGAAGCTCAGAAAAAAAAATCTAGGTTCAGAAAGACCGCACTTGGCATTGCCCAATTGGCACAGAGCAGTCTCAGAGAGAAACACTTCCAGGCACTATAACTAACCGATGAACAAAGTCCAAGTTTATTTTTATACTCTCAGTCGAGTTTGAATTCTGTAACAACCTCATAAGTAAGTTATCATTTCTGTTCACTTTGTATTTGTTCAGTATGCAAAGTGTGTCACCCCTTCTAGCTGACTTCAGTTCCCACGTAGACTCTGGTTCCGTAGGAAGAATGCCAAATTGCAGCTTCTGGGGCTAGATCTCAATTTGCAGTATTCAGACTTCTTTTTTTCTTTTCTTTTCTTTCTTTTCATTCTTTTATTTTCCTTTCTGCCAACTTTGCTTTCCAGTGTTTACAAGTTGATAAATGTTTAACTTCAATGGCATTTCAATGTCCATGTAAAGTAGCTGCCTTTTTTTTTTTTTTAAGTTCCAAATACCACCTGGCTGGGAGGATCACTGCAGGCCTGCTTTAGCACAGAAACGTCACCCCCATGACTGTTTACAGGGATAATCCCCTATTGAGTTGAAGTTTTCGCCTGCATCCAACTCAGGTGAAAATCCATCTCGTTCCGGACTGGTTTTGCTTTTTGGTTCTCGGTTCCTTTTGTGTTTCCCTGCGAGTAGACCGCTTTCTAGCAGCAGTCGCCTGGCCTGCGGTGTCTGGGAGAAGGGCTCCGCTCCCAGCGTCCAGCCCTTCCTCTTGAAAGGTTCCTTAGGCTTTGTTGACTGAGCAGAGAAGACTGTATAGCTGTGGCTGGTCTTGGTGAACACACATTTTGACCCCAAACATCCCCCTTTTGTAGAAAGCCAAATAAAATATATACATACAATTCCTTTTGAGCCCAGAATCTAGATTTGAGCGAAAGAACACGTGTGCTTCAGGGAATGAGTGTCTTTTTTTGGAAATCTGTTGAAGTAAAGGAACATCGGCCTTCTGTTCACTTAGGCAGCATTTGTAGAAACAAAAGAAAAAAACAAACAACAAAAAAAACCCCAACCTGCTGTCTGGAGTCATAACACAACTTTCCTGGATTGGAAACAAAGTGGGGGAGAAATACAGAAACTTTACGGGGACGGGAGGGGGGAGAAGGGAAAAGCCAGCCCTTTGTATAGACATTTTGCTTTTTTTCTCATTCTACTTTAGAACTGCAAGCTTGTGCACTGTGGACGCGTGAATATTTTAGTGTGAAACGTGTTTTGTCATAGTATTGAAATAAAACTTCAACATAGTTTGGTTGTGGAAGGTATAGCAGATAGTTCAGAAAAAAAAATATTCAGGAAAGAAAATTTACTCTTAAAAGGAATTGAAGCCTTTAAACAAAGAAAATGAATAAAAATGATTTTGATGATGATGATGATGCTAAGTAAACAGAAGTCAGGTCTCAGCACGCGCTGCTTTCCGAAGGTACAACAGCAAGAGGTGAGGGTGGCGAGACCACCGAGTCGTGCTGTGGGCCGCACCCAGGTCCTGACACTTCTGCAGCCTGATCAGTGGCAATGTGCTAGATTATCATTTCAAACTGTGAAAAATAATGGTCTTGTCATTTGCTCAATGTGGGGTTATTTTGCATTCTCTCATCTCCTGGGGATGGAAATGGAGGATCCCAGTCTACAGCCCTCGGCCCCTTTGATTCTAGGGCCGCACAAATTCTGGTTCCGAGGCACAGGCCTGCAGGCACAAACACCTGGAAGACAGTTCTTAGAGCACACAGCAGAACGGGAGCTCCTGCGTGTCAGGCGGAGGGTCCGCAAGGACTGGTGGCTCTTCTGTCAGCAGGTTGTCAGTGGGGTCAGTTCTGCATCTTGTGGTGTTAGTGGCTTTGATCAAGGCCAAGCCCACGTTATACCCCAAGGAGACTGCGTTTCATTCTAAGCTGGTGTGGTTAGGCAAACTGATTTTTGTTCCAATGATTAGGAAGAAAAAGAGGTAGAGTCAACCCTCAGATAACCTGGCCCAGGGCCGCGGGCAGTCACCCTCCGCCAAGCGTCCACCACTAGCTGGAACCCAACCCTCTGCCCACCTTTTGGTCAGCTTCTCTCCCAATATACATAGATTTGTATCTGCATGCGTGAGCTTTCCTTTCCTTAAAAATATAAAACAGAGCGATGCTTTCTCTAAAATCAAAGAGGGAGTCACTTTATTTTCAAGATGTTCTATCTTTTATGTTAAGAGATAAAAGCTTATAGTTTTTCTTTTTTAATTTTTTGAAGGGGGATCAATTCTGCCCGTTTCCAATGTCTATGTGTCTATATGTGTATGTGCCATACATATGTATTCACATGAATGCCGGCATGGCCGAGTCCTGCTGGGGCACACGGGTGGACGCCCGGGCCTCCGCTCCCTGGGGCCACAGTGTACGCAGTGCAGCTCTGGCAGTGGAACTCTATTTTCACACTTTTGTATGGAGCCTTCAAGCCCCAGGTTTTCACTCTAGGCTGTCTGTCTGGATGGCGGTTTTCAGACCTCCATTAACATCCCTACCCAGCATTCCCAACTTCGGGGGCCTTCTCTCTTGTTATAAACTTTTTACCAAGTGAAACATCGAGACCACCTTTGTTTCCATTCTCACTGGTGTAAATACTGAGTACTAACTGAGAATTTTGACTTTGCATTCTGTCAGAATACTTGTGTTCAATAAAAACTGAAAGAAAAAAAACAACAGTCATGGTCAAACTGGGATTTATTTCAATTCAGGGAGAGTGTCGTGGATCAAATGTGGAGGAGCCGGTGGTATTCTTTTTATTTATTTCTTTATTTATTGGCCTTTGAAAAAGGTCAGTTAAACGCAGTGTCTGGAGTTGCAAATGCCTGAATGATGGTTTCTAATTTCCCTCTCAGGATGGCAGAGGAGTCCTCGTTTAGAAGGACCAGGTGTCAGATTCAAAAAGATTTTATGCAAATCCTGGTTCTACCACTTCCTTGACCTTGGCAGAGTTCCTTCATCTCCCCAAGACTCAGTGTCCTCTTTTGACAAACTGGAACTATCAAACTAATAGAGTTGAGGTACTGGTTAGTGAATAAGGCACTGAAAGCCATTGTAGCACTTTCTTGGCACATAGTAGGTCCTAAACAAATGGGAGTTAGTGCTGTTGGCATCCCAGGTGTGTGACAGCATCCAACACAAGGTCCCAACACTGCACTAATCTGAGCGACACCTCCTTTTTGTGTCCTATGTGCCTCATCCTAGTCGCGACTTGGGTAGTGGACTCTTCCCCTGCAGTGGTGTCTGCATCCTTCCGGGACTGGTTCTTGTGCTGGCCCTGGGCCTTTTCTAATGTCACAGAGCCGTATGCATCTATGTGATTTCCTGTGCCACACATATCCAGCTGCATGGAGGGGGTGAGGGGTAAAAGCACATTGCTTACCAAGATTTGGAGAAATCATACAATGATAACCCTCTTCATTAATCCATGAAGACTTGTTTCCAGAGTCTTCCTCCTTCAGACTAGTCTCTCAGATTCCCTAAGTATGTATTGAGCATCTCCTAGGGGCTTAGGATGTAGCATCAAATGAAACAGCTCGCTCTCTCATGGAACCTTCGTTCCAGTGTGGGGGTGGGGCAGACAATAAGCACATAGATGCTATGTTGTGGTCACTAGGCCAGTTCACCAATTTCCCAGTTCTCTTCCTCCTTCTGGGCACACGATAGGCTTACACTTCTTTGATCATTTCAAATGGGTGTGCATGGCCATGAGGCTGGCTGTGGTCAGTGGCATTCGAGCAGCATAGTGCATGTCACTTCTAGAAGAGCTTTTGACAGCCAGTGTGTCTTACTGTGGCCCTCTTCCCCCACATAGCAATCAGCAATGCTGCAGGTGGTGGCAGTGCCATCACCTGGGTCCACAGTGAAGGATGTGAGCAGGTGACTCATGACGGACATGAAGGGTGCCTGTGGAGTAAACCCAGTGGTAACTTTAACAGCTGGCTCTCTAGGAGGAAGGGACAGAGGATGTACATATGTATGGGGGGGGGGTTGCATGGGTGCACGCATGTGTGTGTGCATTTATTATAAACTTCATTGATATAGAGAATGTAATAAAATATTGCAAGTAATAAAATATATAGTATTCTATATTGAGATTTCTTATATCCTATTGAAATTCACAGACTGCTTTTGATTTTTGCTGAAGTTTTGTATCCATAATTAACCTGTGGCAATTGACTAATGAGTGCTGTTCCAACATAAATGTTGGTTAATATATTCATTTATGTTAACTAGTGAGATGAAAGTGGCACAGTAAAGATGTACGTGTCAGAACTTCACTCACTCATCAATGGTGTGAGCAACCTCTGCTGAATCATACAGAAGTTTTTGAATACTAGAATACTGCCCCAATTTTCTGCTATTCACAGTGTAATGGCTACAGTCATGGCACATTTTTAAATTTAATCTGCATCATAAATAATCTTACCTTTACTTTCTTAAGTCTAGACAGACACCAAAAAGAAATCAAACCCTGATCTGTAGCATTTACTGCTTTCAGAGGCATATAAATATTCTCACAGTGGCTGATTTCAATGTGTCACTGGACGAGAAGTTAGGTCCAGCCGCACATCAGAATATCATTAAGGTATTTCCAGCATACAGATAACAGAGACATAAATAGCTGCACAGACATATTAGTAACATGCAGTAATAACAAACATGCATACATGGCAAAATGCAGTAAAATAACACATGATACAATTTGAGTATTTATTGCCTTCATTTTCATTATAATTTTAATGGTAAATTTATGTAATTTAATTTTTAATGACTATACTTAACAAGTGGCTCAAAAATTTCCTGGAAATTTAACAATTGGTTCTCTCTAACTCCAGCATACCGCTGGATAACCCCTTTATGCTATAAGCCACTTCACCTTCAGACCTGTTGCCGCAGCATTATGTAGACTATTATGGCTAAATCAGGGAGCGAGAAGGCTCCTGATTTAATCCAGGTCAATGGGAGGTCAGAATACTCCTCTCTGAAAAGGTGACATTTGAGCAGTGACCTCAAAGAAGTGAGGGACTGAACCATGCAAATATCTGAATGAATATCTCAGGCAGAAAAAAAAACAGCAAGGGCAAAGGTCCTGAGGCAGGGATCCTTGGTGTATTCAAAGAAGAGCAAGGAGGTCAGTGTGGCTAGAGCAGAGAGCAAGGGAGGGGTGGGGTAGAGGCATAAGAGGCAGGAGATGAATCAGAGGCATCCATGAGCTAGGTCACCTGGGATCTGTAGACTATTATGAGAATTTTGGCCTTTTCTTCAAGTGAAATGGAAAGCCAAGGGAAAAATTTTAAGCAGAAGGCTGAGATGACTTAACTTGATTTTTAAAATGATCACTCTGGCCCTCACTGTCTTCAATGAGACAGTCAAGCAGTCTCCCCAGTAGACACAGAGATGTGACTCTTTGTGAAAACCCTGACTCGCAAGACCATCACCCTCAAGGTCCAGCCCAGTTACACCACTGAGAACACAAAGCTAACATCCAAGACAGGGAGGGGATCCCATCTGACCAGCAGCAACTGATTTTTGTGGGCAAACAGCTTGAGGATGGCTGCACCCTCTGACTCTGATATCCAAAAAGAGCAAACCCTGCACGTGGTACCTTGTCTATGGAATGGCATCACTGAGCCCTCACTGTGCTAGCTCACCCAGAGTACAACTGCAGTAAGTGTTACTCACCTGCACCACACACTGTTAACTGCAGCAAGAAGTGAAGCCACACCATCAACCTGCACCCCAAGGAAAAGGTTAGATAGGGCTCCCACCACGACCATCTCACCCCACAGGGCAGTCTCCTGCCTGAACCCTGTGGCTCTGAAGCCTCAATAACATTTCTCTTTTGTTGACTGGAGACATTAAAAAAAAAAAAAAACAAACAAAAAACCTCACTCTGGCTGTTGGTTTGAGAACAGACCACAGTCAGTGGTGTAGATGGGAGAAGATAGTGTGCTTGGAGCAAGTTGATTCTAGTGGAGGGAGGACAGTAGCCAGATGCTAGCTCTCTATTGAAGATGAAGCCAGCAAAATTGGAAAATGGTTTGGATGTGGGTTTGAGAAGTATGAAGGACGTCTTCCAGATTTGCGGCCTGAACAACAGAAAGGATGGAGTTGGCATTTACTTTCTAAAAGGAGTGGAGGAGAAGCCAGTTGGATGGCTGCAGAGTTTGGTTCTGGACAATTTAAGCCTGAGATACCTGTGAACACCCTAGTGGAGATTTTGAACAGGCTGAAGTTCAAGAGGTCTATTCGGAGACCCATGTAGAAGCTGTCATCAGAGAGCTTATGTTTGAACCCCAGCACTTGGTGAGATCACCAAGGAAATGAATACGGATTAAGAGGAGGGGAAAATAAGCAAGGGACCCAGAAAAGAAATTTTGCAGGCAGCTCTATGTCAAGGTAAAAGCTGAATAACCCTTTTTCTGGCACTTAGAACACAGCGGGAGGAACAGGCTTGCACTGACAAGATGAAAGAAATACCATCTGATTCCACCAATTCCAGGCCGTCACTATCACATGCGACTCATTTGTGAAGACCTTGGCTTTTGGTTCATGGTCATCCTCTCTCCCAAGTTCCACCATCATCCTGGGAGACTTCAATGCTTTTTGTTGAAAACCCTTCAAAACACAGGTCCGTCATGTTAACATCCTTGTCTCCAGTGGCCTCCTTCCCTCCAGTTAAGCCACCTTAACCAACCTGTAGACTTGATCATCACCAGCCATTCAGCCTGAATCAGATTTTCAGATTCCCCACTCTCCAACACTCTCTTTGACCCATCCAGTTCTCTCACTCAGCTACTAGTACTCCCAATAAGTCAATTATTTGTCCTTACTGAGGCCTCTGCTAATTGACTCCCAGATTTTTCCCTATTTATCATGTCCTCTCTTCACCTCCCTACACACCCAACTTCGATTCTTTGGTCCAGCTCTCCAACCACTCACACTCAGACATTAAAAGCTTCCTTGCCTTGACGTCTCGCTCTGCATCTATCTTGTAAAACTCTCGCCCTGAAAATCATCTGTCTGCCATCTCTTTGTTCACACCTGGACAGCTGGGTGCTGTTCTAGAAAAACCACATAACCAGGCACATTAGTACCAAGAGATAATTAAAGTCACTCTCAACTAGTCTCTGACACTAGTACTGCCTGACAATCCTACTAGCGTTTCTCACCAACTCCTTCATATTCTCCTCTACAAAAATGTCTTCACTTTCCCCAAACTAACCCCTCCCTCAGCCATTCTTTTCATCTCAGCAGGTGAATGGTCTCGCTTCCTTCTCCTAAAGAATACCCTCAGCTGACCATCCCAAATCTACACACCCACCTGCATCCATGGCCTCCCTTCCTCCTTTGCTCTTGTACATCAGAAGCAGCATCTCCCCTTTCCCTGGACATTGGCCTTTCTCTCTTACTTTCATTGGGACTTTCTTCATCCATTCAATATTCTTTCAACATTTATTAAATACCTCCCAAGGCCAGGGACTTTTCTAGGTGCTGGGGAAACAAAGATCCCACTTTCATGGAGCTTATGCTCTAAATAAAGGTATATAAGAAGTCCATGACGATGAATGCTGTAAGAAGCAGGCAGTGAGGCAAGGGGACTAGCAAGTCATAAAGGAGGAACTTTTTTTGCATGGAATAATCAGGGATGTGCTCTCTGAAGAGGTGGCATTTA